CACCTGCTCAGCGGCTGCTGTGGAACGCACACGCTCAGTAACTTCACATTTGTTCCCTCCGCACAAGCATTCGGAAGTCCCGGGGAACAGGAAACCACAAATACTCCTTCTGGGGGAAATGAAGCAATTACGTATTTGCATAACAAAGTGATACAAGCGAAATGTGTCGAGCATGCGAAGGCCAAGCCCACACTTGCTGCTGTGAGCTGTCTGGCTTTCCAGAATTCCCTTACAGGAGCAATCCCCGCTGCCGTGGCTCCTACGCCAGCTCTCTTGGCCGTCATCTCCCTCGGCTGGCTCCCACCAGCCCCATGGGTTCTGGGTGCACTGCCCTGCCCTGCCCGGGCCCCTGCCAAACCATCAGTGACAGCGCCTGAGATGAACCCAGAACCCCACTGGACCCCCTCCTGATGACTCAGGTGTGCCCCCCACCCAAAAAGCCACTGCTCCAGAACAACCTTGTCTGTCCTCACCGAATGCAGTTACAGAACCCCCCGCTGCCAGCGCTCCCTCACCCAAAGCTGCACTGCTCCCCTGCACCCCTCAGTGCACACATTCCCACTGCACACGCAGCATTTCGGGGCACAAAGCGGCGGTGGCTCTCTCTACATCCCCTAGCCTTGCTCTCAGCAGTGAGCAAAGAAAGCAGCCTCTGGCTGGGCAGGGTCACGGGGAGCAGCGCTCGGCGTCACCCGCTCCCTGCCGCAGCGTGTTTGCTCAGGTGGCCCTCCCCAGGAGGGGCCTTCCCCTCAACGTCCGCTCCAGGGCCGGGGATGGCGTGTCCCCCTCATCAGAGAGGTCTGCCTGGGACCTGCAGCAACTGCTCGGACTTCAGCTGCAAGGAAACGCCTGGAGCGGACAGCAGCCAAAACCAGGAGCGCTGCTTCTCCTCCTTGCACGGAGCGCGCAGCGAGCGGGGCCGGTCTCGTGGCTGCAGCACGCTCACCACCTGTGTTTGTGTTTTCTCTGCAGTGGGAACGGCAGCTTGGACTGCGCTGCCAGTCCCTGCCTGCCTCCCAGAGAATGGCCCGAGGGTTTTATCCAGCTTTAATCTGAATATTTTCTGAATGTGAGGAGCTGAAGGCGGATTGTCCCCTACGATCTCTTTTGCGATGGCCAAAAGGAGAACATCTCAGGACCAACCTGTGTGCTGCTCGGAGCTCAGCCTGTTCCTTAGAAGACACGGGGGCAGCTGCTAAGGCGGCGCTGCCATCCCCCTCCGCCCCATTTCCCTCTTTTGGCTTTAAGGTGCAACCAGACTGGCCGGGCTGCTGCTGCAAACGTGAACTTCAGAGTTCAGAAGTGCTGCTGTTGTTTCCTGGGCCAACACCTCACTACACGGCTACCAAATTGAAGGGCAGGCTACTGACAGAGCTGCTGGGGCTCCTGAGACAGCCGGCCTTTCCCAAAACCGCTGCGCTCAGAGACCAAACGCAGCCGATGCCTCTCCGTAAAGCCACACCGAACTCACCAGAATCTCTCTTCACGCAACACGAACAGTTTCTAACTACATCAAAGCCTCCTGCTGAGATCGCGTAACAACAAAGAACGTCACATTTTGGTGTACAATGACTTTTCTTTTCAAAGCACTGTGCTTTGTACTAGGTAAAAGCTCTTCCTGTGGTTCTGTGCGAGGCTCAGGATGGAGCTGTTCACCACCAACTCGCGCTACCTTTTAGCTCTGCCCTGTTACCCAAAACAACAACAACAACATCAGTTCCAAACAAGCCAGCGAGACCAAAGACCCAGACTCCACATAAAAAGAACAAAACGACGATTTTGGCAAGGGAGGTAAAGAAACAGAGAAGAATCCAAAACACACACAGGCTCCTAAGACCTGCAAACCAAAACTCACGTACGCAGTACAAACACGCTCTGCAACAGCACGAACCCTCCCACCCCGCTGGTATGAAATGTGCATTTCTGAGGATCCTTCGCAAGGATGCACTCTCCCATCAGCACCTAAAATCAGCACTCTCACGGCAGCGCGCACACTCCGAACCTGCAGAAAACGCTGTGATCAGCGATGACACCAGGGTCTTTTCGGAACAGAATGGAGACATTTCCACTCACTTCACGTTTACAGCCGCACAGCGAGCAGCTGTCTCTGCTAGGACGTCACCGCGCACAGGAACACATCGAGGGAGCCTTCATGTGGTTATCGGTCCTTGGAAAGCCGCTCTCTCGATCACCGTATGTTCTGCGTGCCCACGTCACTGCGGGTGTACCCAGCACCATGACAAGGTGCTGGGAAAAACCACCCAGCACGAGAGGGAAATGCGGCGCAACTGCGTCAGTTGCTTTTGGGCACTGTGCTGTTTGTGGAAGGAAATCAGCCTTCTCATTAAAAGGCAAGCCAGGCTCCAGCAGTGTCTGGGGACAGATTTCACCCACAGCAGATGTGTGGTTTGCCTCCCGTTAGGATTCTGACGCACAGCTCAGCTTTCGGCTATGACAGGGCTGGGGTCCCAGCTCCCCACTGCCGGGACAGACGGGGCACCAGGACACGGGCTCGTGGGCAAGGACGGGTGGGAAGGAAGTAAATGAATTTACTGAGGTGCCAGTAACTCCGCGAATTACTCAGGGAACAGCATTCGGTTGTTGCTGATATCACAGTTTACATTTTGCTGAAAATTTTGCTGGTCTATTGCCCAGGTCAGAGACAGCACGAAATTACAGTACCACCGGTGGTCACACCGACTGCAAAAGATGACGCATCCTACATCTTGACAAGCTTTCTGGTACCCACCTCTGGAGATGAGCAGCACACTGCTGCACCCAGGGACGCAAAACCACGTAACACTCACTCGGATCGCAATTTCCTTCCATTTTCCTGCAGACGCAGACACGGGACTCTCCTCCATTCCGGCCGGGCTGTA